TGTAAGAGTTGAAAGGAGTAAAGACCATGTTGAAATAAAAAAAATATATATTCTAGAAATAGGATAACATTGAACTTTTAGACATAATGATAAAATCTCACTTAATAAAAAAGAAGAATCTGGTATACCTTGTTTAGTGTGCTATAAGTTTGAAAAAAGATTGAAAATTATTGTAACAAATGAATTGTATTTTAATTATTTATTGAGCAAAGTGTAAAAAAATTGTTTGAATACCATGTTCATGAAAGCTGACATAATGATCAAGTCAATTGTATAAAAACTGTAAACTTGAGTTGATTTTGTAGAAGAGTTGAATGTTAATTAAAAAGTAGACAAGAAAAACATTGTCTTGTTTGTTTAGCAATTGTTTGTCAGTCAATCTTTATACTTTGTGTAAATTAACTTGTTCATCCCTCCCTCCCCACTCCCTGGTCAGATGTTGATTGATAATGTTTATAACAAACCATTCCCTGTCAGTTTCACCTCAATGTGTTCCTTTTAATTTTTGTCCATTCTTGAATATTTTATAAAAACACCTTTTAAAAATGAGTGCAGCAATATTAAAGTGTTGGAGACTATTTTGCATAGGAAAATACTGATTACTTTATCTTTTAGTTTCAATTGCATACTCAATTGATTTTCTGAAAAGGTCATGTTGATGTCAATGTCGTGACAATTTCATAATAATCTTACTTAAACACTGGGTACTTGAAAAATAAAATGGTTTTCACACCATCAAAAAATAGGTTTGGACTAATGTCTTCATCTTTGTTCATCTATTGTGTCACTGAAATGATAAAAGCGATGAAGAGGATTCGACTGAATAATTAATTGAAATATTCATTTGCTTTGTACATTTATAGGTCACCTTTGTGCAGTTTCTTTTTAGGATTGCCAATGTGCTACAACAATTCAAAATGTGGGGTATTTGGAAAGCTATTTGGTATGGGAATGAAAATAACGTGAATTTTCAAGGAGGTGCTAGAAAATTCTCAACCCAGCCTACTTCTCAAAATCTGACCAGACATCAAAATTTTTTTTCAAAATTTTCCAGCACATCTTAATATTGCTGCTTGTCCTTCTCCTCAGTGCCATTAGACTCCCCTGTGAAGTATAATGTCACAGCACTACTACAGTAGGTGTTGCTACTATGGTGTTTTTTTTTTTTTTTAGAAAGAATGTATTTATGAGGTGGATTTGCTAACCTCACACACAACTATTTTTGAATTATCCTTCTAGCCTGGTTGCCAAGTAGGCTAAAGAGCCTAGTCTGTATTGCTATTTTAACCTATGGCTTAGTGGAGAAGGATTTCATACCTTTCCCAAAGGTATTTGTGTGAAAGTGAATGCAATAATCTTGGCCAGAATTTGAACATGAAAACCAATTAGATTTTTAGTGATAATAACTGCTACATGCATCTATACAAACATTCATTTCCTTCTAATGTCATCATCATCATCAGTCCTTGGATGGCTTCAGTTGTTGCTGGGTGGGGGACCTAAGGGTAGAAGAAAGTGACAACCTCCTCTGGGATGATCTGTTGGTAGTGGGTCACAGGAATTCTGCTATAGCCATTTCCATCTACTCTTTGATGATGTCTGAACATCTTTTCTGTTGCCGTCCTTGCTTGCAGACGCTTTTAAATGGTCAAAACATGCCATCTTCTGATGCTTAATAATAGCTAGGAGAGAATTCTCTTGGCCCAAGAGACTTTTGAACTTGCTTTGTATATAGTCATTGGTTTTGTACTTCCAGTAGGAGATGCGGAAGACTTTTCTCAAGCATTTATTCTTGAATACCTGGTTCATTTATTTTCCTGTCTCAACCAGGAGTGTCCAAATCTCTCATACGTCAAAAAGTATGGATATGACTATTGATTTGTAGAGCTTGAACTTGCTCTTCCATATCTTTTACAATCTGGCCATAGCTGCTGTGGTGATCTATGTGCAGGTTTCTATATTGCAGGTGCCATCTTTTGACAGGGTTGCTCCAAGTACTGCAAGCTGAACATTTCCTCTTGTGCTTTGCTGTCCATGGTGATGCTAGCACTGGTGTTGCTTGTGATATTTACCATTACTTTGGATTTCTTTGTGCTGAATTCCATTCCATGTGCACCGGCTTTGTTTTTTGGTCAAGTCTTCCTGCTTTATGTTACTGTCTGCCATAAGGTGAATATCATTTGTGAAACGTGGGTTGCAGACAGGTTTACCACCTTCTTCTCATATAGTATTATTCTAATGGTATGTACAATGTTGCATTCTTCTCCCTCGGGTCAGAATGTCGTATTTTAGAAACCTGTACAGTAATATTAAATGGGTCAACAAGGGACAGAAAAATATAAGATAGCTAGTGGAAAACAAAAAAGAAAACCTGGCTGAAGGGGGGGGGGCAAAAACAGATCTGCTCAAAGGAGGTGCTAAATTTCCGCTCCAGCAGATATTATTGGTTTCAGGACAAATAAAAAAAAAAACCTAACTTTTTGGTTACAATGTTTGATAAGGATCAAACTATGGGTATATGGTCAAGTGGTTAGAACATTCATTTTTCTCATTTTTATCAAGAAGGTAATTTTTTGATGTTATCATCCTGGGAAGTGCCTGAAAAGCATATCATAGTTTGACCCAAGCCTTGTGAGTGAAATTGAATAGATGAAACTATTTGGGAACTGTTAATGTTTGTGTTAGCTTTAGGAGTTGTTGATGTTTATGCTAGCACATAATCACATGTCATCGTGACTGAGGATTTGAGCATACTGGACTTGTTCAGAACTGTTCGATCATGCCAGGTAATGTGCTCTCTCCCAGAAACTGTAACAAAGATCTGCTCAGCATAATTGCAGTTTAAACTACAGGTGGACTCTGTGGGTGTTAAACAAGCACAAATGTGCTGGAGCAGGTGTCTGCAACAGGGATTGGCTAGCTGCCTTATACAGACAAGCATGCTGTGAAGACACCAACAAGGGGTGAAATGTTTCGCAGAATAGTTTTTCTACTTATCATTTCTCTTTTTGTTTGCATATTATTTTACATTCTACTATCATCCATTTGAACCAGCTTCTTCCTCCTCCTCCTCCTATAAGCGCTTCATGTCCATTATTGTCAATGAAATATGTAATTTCTTATTACTTAAACGTTATATTTAATGGATTCACAGACAAAGCTGCCAAGCAAGGTTCGTTTACCCTACTTAAGAAATGCACACCTCATTGGGATCTCCCTCAAAGCCCATATCTACTCACTTTATTTGGTATTCAAAGTAATTTTTAAGTATTTCTTATAAATGTCATATTTAGTGAATACACATGTTTCAGTAGACATCTGTTTTTTTAAAGAACATAAATTTACATCTCCCAGCCTATGCATTGAAGTGTCTTAATAAAGTAAGCATTGCACCTTCTGGTGGCAGTGTTCAAATCTGCATCCCTCTCAGAAATGCCAACTACCATCAAGCCTGGTGTACTTTAGACAGCTCAACCATGACAAATATATATATATATATATAAATCAATTTGCACCAAGCAACGTGATAATGCCATTAAGACACAAGGGGCTACTGGGCGTGAAAGAGAATGTAAAAACTTTAGAAGGAACTGGAATCCTGATCTTAAACATCAAACGAGAAATAAATCTCTATACCTGTTCAAAAGAAGTGTGTGAACTCTGGCTGTTACGTGAACTGTGTGCATGTGTGTTGATATCTACTGTTATTTTTATTTTTTATTTTTTTTTAAGCGTTTCACCCCAAGCAAGGCGGGAAGCCACTAGCACGCAAGGGGTTACAGAGAGTTGGAGCTAGAGCAAATAGGAATGATAAAGGAAAGGAAGAAGAGAAGGATAGGGGATAGATCAAGGCATCTGGAGACGTCAATTGATATTACATTTGAATAGTTGGAGAATATAGCTATCAGGGAAACAGGAAAACGGAAGGGAGTTCCACAGGCGAGAGGTGCAAGACATGAAGCTATTGGAGTAGAAGAGACGGCTCCATTTAACAGTTTCGATAGTGAAAGGGTGTGAGCAAGATGCCAACCTAGTTGAACGCTTAAATTCATGAAGTCTGGGAACCAGTGAAAGCAGCTCATCGGAGCAGTTACTGTGAAAGTATTTGTAAAAAAGGCATAGGGAGGCGACGACACGTCTGTGAGAGAGTGACTGCAGACAAGATGTGGATCAGGGCCAATTACATTGCATATCCATCTCTGGATCTTATCAAGAAACTTGAGACAAACAGAAGGGGCACCAGACCATATATGGCAGCAATACTCCATGCAAGGGCAAATGGTTGATTTGTAGATTTTCTATTTCTTTGTATTTACTCAGCTCATCTTCAGTACAAAAGTACAACTGCAAGGTACCTTGTGAGGTCTGAACTCATAATCAATGACATCAAAGGTTAACTTTTTGACTTTTTACTTTTTACCAGCAGACAATGTAAAGTGAGACTTTGATTGTCTCTTTAATATGTTCATTGTGACTTTGGAAATTTGAACCCTTACATAATACCAGCTAGATTTCTGGTTTTTTTAAAAAATTTTTTTTCAAGTGAAATGTTCCTTTAGGGGGTAAGCGATCATAGTTCTCCACAATTTCTTTTTCATCTATAAATTGGAAATATCTTCTTGAGAAAATGGAGTGGTTTCCTGTTGCCCATGGTTTGAAGTTCAAAGTTTTTCTCTTATATTGGTTGTCATCCAAAGCTTAAAAACCCAGTCTGTACTGCTATTTAAGAGATGGGTTTATACCTTTTCCAAGGGTGTTTGTATGAAAATGAATGCAACAGATTTGGCTGGAATTTAAACCTTGTTCCTTGATTCCATTTCCCTTGCAAATAACCATTATACTATCCACACATCCTTTCTTCTTATTTGCTATAGAAGATGACTTATGCTTTATTTTGGTAAATAAAAATAAATTTATTTAACTATAAAGAATAAGACTAATGTGTGCCCTCAACATTGGTTTTGTACTTTTCCTCTTCAGTGCCAGGAGAGTGATATCATGCTAAAATACCAGTTCTCATCCATTCACTGAAGTTAAGCAATGTCAAGCATGTACAGTACCTAGATGGGTGACTAGTTGGGAATACCATATGCTGTCAGCTTGGATTTGTGGGAGGTGTAATGGCTTGGAATTTGAGTTTGTTACATTCACTTTGGGAAAGGTAGAAATCCATCTCTTCTCCCCCACTATGGGTTAAATATTAAATAGCAGGACAGACTGGGTCCTTTAGCTTTGGCTGGCAATCAGACTACTGAAAAGGTAATGACAGCATGCTGTGGAAATTCTACTGCCAAGTTAATCATTAATCGAAACGTGACAGGATCGCCAAAGCATGCATCATGCCTGACACATAAGCAAGGAATGCCATGAAATGTTTTTCTGTATCATGGTCTTTTTTTTATTTAATCATTTCACCCCAAGCAAGGCAATAAATCCACTAAGATGCATGTGAAAGACTATGAGAAGAAAGAAGAAAACATTATTAAGGAGAGAGAACAATAAAAGAACAGGAATTAATAAGACAGAAGATAACAATTGACATTGCATTTAAATTTTTGAAGATCAAACTTGACTGGAAAGTGAAAAGCCACAAGTGAGAAGTGCAAGAGAAGAAACTGAAAATAGAATCATTTTAAATAGCCAGATCCATTCCATGATTCTGTCAGAGACAATAAGCCATAAGATGCACACATATAGTAATGAATAAATCTGTTCCTAATATATTTTAAGACCTACATTATAATTGATTTAAGACGAGATATAAATAACTAATATTTGTATTCGTAAATGTATTAACCTAATTCCATTTGTGTCCATCTGTCAACCGCTTAGGATTAACTGATAAAATATATTTCAAGAGATTTCATTGTTTGAAGTCTGTTTAATGTAGCAATGAATCAAACAGTGATTCAAGACAATTCCTAAAGCAATATTGGAGATAATGTGTGAAAATTTGGTTGCCAAGTGGAACTAATAATGGTTGGAAGTGATACCAAAGAATAGAGACTAAAGAAGACAGATTTATTATTGTTCTGTAGATGAACATTGTGTTTTTGAAAGTGTGTGGGTGTGTTCACACATTGATCAGCACATAATATTAGTAGGAGTGGTGCCGTTGTAGGTCAGGACAGCGAGGTATAGTGAAACTTGAATGAAAGGAATTTCACTCTAGATGCTTTATAAATATTAGAGCCATCTGTGACATTGTTGCTTTTTTATACTGAGAAAAAGGATTTTGCTACCAATGATTCTAGTACCCTATAATCCAGAGCTATCTACTGCATGGTTAGGTCATTGTCAACTGAACAAGTTCCCCCCACCAAGTTTTTCTGAGGAGGGGGTTCCTAGAAACCTAGCAGGATTAAAAGCAAAATCTGTGAAAGGGTGAATGAACCTTTTTATATGGTCAGTGGTCATCTCTAGAAAAGTAGGGGAGATTGGGTTTCATAGCTGATAGGCAGCCAGTACCATGATGACATTGTATTGCATCTTCCTAGACTGAAGGCAGGAGCCAAGGTGGAGAAATTAACAGCTACATGTTGGCGATCAAGGTGAGCCTTCTAGAAGATATCAGCTGTGTTTTTACCTGGGGAGGGATGGGCTCTGCCAGGTTTACTTACCCAAGACATGCTACACATGAATGAATACCTCTCTGGCTTTCAACCCAGATATGTGGAGGGAACTGCTCAGTGGCCCAATGACCATAGCTGGCTGTGGGAATGATGATGAAAAAAAAAAAAATAAAGGAATAATTAGCCATTTATTAGGTCATAGTAAAGTAATAAACCTCCTTCGGAAGTTTCAGGAGTATATCTATCTGGTGGAAATTTATTTGGACTAATAGTAAACTACAGAAACTCCAACAGAAGTTAGTAAAGGAAAGTGTGAAGAATGGACTAAACATAAAGTGTAAGATGCCTTCCAAAAGTTAAGCAAAGTATTAAGAAACAAGAAAATTTCATAAGAAACAAAGAAAAAAGTATTGAACCGTTGTAGTATCAGTCCTCCTATATGGCAGTGAATGCTGGTCAATCTCCTCACAGATGAAGAAGAGACTTGAAGCAACAGAAATGTAGTTCTACAGAAGGATGCTGAGAATATCATGTACTGAACATAAAAACATAAAGGACACTTATACTTAACATTACAAAGAAAATGTGAAATTTCTGAGTCACATAATGAGGAAAGAAGGCTTAGAAAATTTGATACTCACAAGATATATTGAAGGCAAGTGGAACAGAGGAAAATGGCACATAACCCTGGTTTAACGAGCTTGTGTAAATGGATGACAGAACAAAGTTTAGGAGCGATAACAAAAAGGCAAAATTTACTAAGAGATACAAAAACAGCAAATTGTGGAGAGCCATGATCATCAACGTCCTGAAGGGACACGGTACATAAAATAAGAAAAATATAAATTGGTATTACCGTAATATACAGTTTCTACTATGTAGTCTTGCATTTATTAAATATAATCTTCTTTTTAACCAATAATTGAAATCATAAAAAGGATTTGAACTGAGAAATATACATTGAAAATTCTGTCATATTAACAGAAGAGAGTTTAGATTTGACTCAATCAAACATGTTGAGAAATTGTTTCTTATTAATAAAAAGCATTTAGATGTCGGGCAGTATGTTGTATGAATTAGCTGTAGGTAATAACCATTTCTAGAGGTGGAAAAAAATTATAACATTTATACCAAAGAAAGTAATAAACAGATTGTTTCTTTGGATTTATTTTGTCACACACAAGTTTGGGTTGGTTGACGATGCACTGGTACTCTTGCGTAGATCACATGCTACAGTAGCTCAAGTTTGCATTTTTGGAAACTGCTTCATATAAAAGTTCTTATTTACAAGTGATATTTATTAAACCTAGAGGAATGTTTATTGAGTACCCAATACCTGGAGAAGGGGTCATAAAGTACCAAATGAAGATGACTCTCATTACCTTAGCAATATTTGGTGAAAACTGACTATCAGTTAATGGCAAACACTGAATTTATTTTGTCAGACAGTAGATTTGGACTGTTAAGTTGAAATCTGATTCTCTCCAAACCCATTTCGTTAGAGTTGTTTCAACATATGCTTTAGTTCTAAATACAATGTTGCAACATTAGAGGCTGTTTATATTGTTTCAGTTTTTAGTACAACAGCAACTCACTATCTGCAAAGTCACCAACTATGGTCTCACATATTTGCAATTGGACCAAACAGGAAAATTTTCAAATTCAAAACTTTTATTAAACTAAAACTATTTATGTTTTCTGTTTTCTATGCATATTTAGCTATTATGAATCTGTGTACAGTTAATTATATGAAAAGTATGTTTATTCATTAGTTGGAAATGCAATAAATTAAAAATTTGTATGTGTACGAATATTTGTTTCCCCCTTACTATATATATATATATATATATATATATATATTCTGAGATGAGATATTATGTACACTATTTACATTATTCAGACTATTGTCCTCATCTTTGTCACCATATTTATTACGTTTCGACTGTTGTACGCTACGGCCTTCTTCAGGTGGTTGGAATGTTGAACTGAATCCTTTATTTCACTCACTGGGGTAGACTGTTCTAGTTCCATGTCTAATGGATGTCAGTTATCAGTTATCTCTCGTTAATTCCCCTCTCCAAGTTCTCCACTGCCTTAACTGGGTATTGAACTCACACTCTTCAGGTCCTGTCACTGGATCTAACTAACGCCTTTAACCTTTATTAAATATGAGGACAGTGGATAAAGGTGTTAGTTAGATCCAGTGACAGGACCCAAAGAGTGTGATTTCAATACCTGGTTAAGGCAGTGGAGAACTTTCAGAGGAAATTAACAGGAGATAACTGATAATCGACATCCATAAGACTTTTGGGGAACTAGAACAGTCTATCCCAGTGAGCGAAATAAAGGGTTCAGTTCGACATTCCAACCACCTGAAGAAGGTCGGAGGTACAATGGCCAAAAAACGTTGTAATAAATATAAAGACAAAGATGAGGACAATAGTCCCAATAATGTAAATAATGTATGTATGTATATATATATATATATATATAAAATAATCCTAAAGACCCAGGAACTACCTACCTAGGTTTCATCTAAACAGATCTTCAAGGTAAACTTACTCTGAAGATCTGTTCCTGGCTTTTTTAGGATTTATTTCATTATATTATATATATATATATATATATATATATATATATATATAAATTAATTCTAAAAAGCCAGGAACTACCTACCTAGATTTCACCTAAATAGATCTACAGGGTAAGCTGGCTAAAGAGGAAATGACACAAAACCTATGTATCAATAAAACCAACACTAAAAACTAAAATTAGCATAAACAAAAGACAAAAGAAGAAAGAACCATATAAAAAAAAACAAAAAAAAACTTCTTTTCCAATAACTAATATTTCTTATGACTGCACCTATTTAAGATTTCAGATTTTTGGTTTATTAAATTTTGGGGTTTATTGAAAGTAGCTATTTCTAATTTTTCCTCAATATAAAACAAACAATATTTGTTACCTGCTTTATACTTGTAACATTTTTTATTATTTCCCATTTTAAAATGGGGGTCTGTTCCATTTTCCTGTTTAATATTCCAGTGCTGTGTTTATATTTTTATTTTAATGCTACTTATATGGTTATAGTAACGTTTTTTAGAATTACCTTGGGTGGATCCTATATAAATTTTATTGTACTTATTACCATTCTTACCCTTGTTTCTGCATATTTCAACCTTGTAAATGACACATCCTTATTTCTGCAGTTACATTTTGCTGGGGTTGGGGTGTGGTTTATTGATAATTATTTTCCTGTTATATTTATTAATTAAGTTAGCCATATTTGGCATACAACTATAGCTTAATTTAATATAATTTTTATTGAAAATTTTGTTCAATATGTTGGACAGGGGAAAATTCTTTTTTTAATAATTTAAAAAATATTTTACCTATTTTAGTTGTGACGGCTAAGTTATATGGAGGATTGAACCATAATATCTTTCTAGCCCTGTTTTTCCTTTTACCTTGCATGTTGGGAGAATTATAACTATCTATATATGTCAATTTAGTTTAATGTCCACTAT